TATCGTTTGATTTTTGAATAAGCATATTTTTAAAAAGTCATTAACATGTTTTCAAATGAAACAACAATCAATTTCTTGAACTTGGAGTAGTACTTGGTTCTGTTAAAATAAAGTGATTTTAACTAGTATAGATGTATAGCGTACATTTGTGCTAATAAACAAAGATGGCAAAGTATGTGTCCTATATTTAGACAACCCTGGAAAAAGTTTGTTCTGGGCCAAAGGGTGACATCACCCATTCAGATGCAAGTCTTAGCAGATACTTGACCATTTCAAACCGCAGTTCTTGATTTGAGGAAGTCCCTCAGGCGAAGACCGTTGTTAATCCATTTTTCCATTTAGATTTATACAGTTGACAACAGATCAAATTTCAGAAAGGGCAGCTTTGAGTTATCCCTAAATTTTCCATAAGAAAAACCTATTGCAAGTCATAATATGTTTCTGCGTTTTCCCGCTGATAGCACACAGCTGACAAAGGGGAAGTTCCCAACTCAATTTCAACAATAGACAGATAAAGTCGGATACAACAACATAGTACCCAAAGAAGAACTTCCTTTTTTTTTAACCCCCCTAAATTGGGGATGGTAGAAGATAGGTTATGTTCTTTGTTAAAAGAATTCCAAAGTTTTCATCTTTGTCCAATACCAGGTCTTCAATCTTTCTAAGAAAAATAACTCTTAAAAACATATTAACCCTTAAATACTAAAACTATTTCATGTCTACCCCAGGGACTAATTTAGTCATGTGTCTGCCAACAAAGACATACTTATAATCTATGTTTATTTTGGTTCCTATATAAATCTTCTTAGTAGCTGCTTCCAGTGAATATTGAGGGAAAAGCTCTCTTAATGGAAAGCTATGAGAAACATCTATTTTTCCAGGACGTATATGCACTCCGTAAGTCACTGTTGGTAAAGCAAGGGGAGAGATTTGGTTTTGTTACCAAAGTTCAACACGAATTTTATTTGACTCCATCTCCAACAATGGACAATAACATTAGCTCAGTAAGAGATCATGATCAATACCAAATGTATTTCATAAACAGAGAAGCCTGACATCAAAAGGACAGCGAGAAGAAGACAGTGGGTTCCACACGATTCTTCAACAATTTGCCCTGTCCTCAATGTCCCCAAAGCCCTTCAGAAGAAAGTAACAGAAGGCAAGAACACAGCAAAATGAGGGAAGTATTAAAGATCCTTGAGCATCTTAACCTCAGATCCAACCGTGAAAGCTCCCAGGAAATTCATCCTCCAGGCCGGGTGCCATGGCCTGTAATCCCAGCACTTTGGGAGGCCAAGGCAGGGGCATCACCTGAGGTCAGGAGTTCAAGACCAGCCTGACCAACATGGTAAAAACCCATCTCTACTAAAAATACAAAATTAGCCAGGTGTGGTGGTGCACGCCTGTAATCTCAGCACTCTGGGAGGCTGAGGCTGGGGGATCACCTGAGGTCAGGAGTTTGAGAACAGCCTGACCAACGTGGTAAAACCCCATCTCTACTAAAAACACAAAATTAGCTGGCTGTGGTGATGCATGCCTGTAATCCCAGCTACTCGGGAGGCTGAGGCAGGAGAATTGCTTGAACCCAGGAGGCGGAGGTTGCAGTGCACCAAAATTGCACCATTGCACTCCAGCCTGGGCGACAAGAGCAAAACTCCATCTCAAAAAAAAAAAAAAAAAAATCATCCTCCACGTCACCTCTTTCGTACCACTGCCACCCACAGCAGAACAGAAATCTTCAGTAATCTGGACTATTTCTAATAATTCATATAGCTGGACTGAGGTTAATTTTTATCTATGTAGAAAGTCTTTCCAGGCCCCTTCAAGCTCTATATAAAGACCTACTCCCTAATTCTAATTGCAAATCATGTGTTAAAGCAAGTTATATAAAGATCTCTTTAGGCAATCCTCTATTAGCCTGATTCTAATTGCCACATATTGTTTGAAAATAATAAAATTATACTTGTCTGAATATAGTCTTATTAAAACTGACAATCCCTCCTTCCCCCATGTTCTTTGTAATTCATGAAATTTTTATAGTGGTTTGCCACTTTCATGCTTGGGTGGACCAAAAAGTTAAAGAGTACATTTAACTCTTTACACTGGCTCACACCTGTAATCCCAGCACTTCAGGAGGCCGAGGCAGGCAGATCACCTGAGGTCAGGAGTTCCAGACCAGCCTGACCAACATGGTGAAACCGCATCTCTACTAAAAACACAAAAATTAGCTGGGCGTGGTAGCACGCGCCTGTAATCCCAGCTACTCAGGAGGCTGAGACAGGAGAATTGCTTGAATCCAGGAGGCGGAGGTTGTAGTGAGCCGAGATTGCACCACTCCAGTCTGGGTGACAGAGCAAGACTCCGCCAAAAAAAAAAAAAAAAAAGAGTACATTTTCCATGAAAAACAAGATATAAAGACAGTGAGACAAGTATTTTATAACAGTTACACCATTGCTTTTAATTAAACATAAAACATCTGACATTTCATTCATGGACTCTTAGCATTATTTATAAAATGAAATACCCTTTTTAGTCCATGAAGAAAATTCCATGAAAATAAAATAAAAGCATATGCAGTTTTACATATTTACATACTTACATTCTGGAGCACAACAAGACTCTAATTGGGTATTTTCCTTTTATTTGAGGCTCTAGTTTCAATTTAGTATGTCTAAAACGACTAGTAAATACATTATACTGAGTGGTGGGGTAAATGAATTCTTTCAGGCCACAAAGGTACTATTCAGTAAATTACCGCTCTGCACTGGCCACTGCCTGGTGGCCTCAAATTGACAAACTGCCTTTAAAAGGTGAAACATGTTCTTACTGATTCATCCAAAGGCTCATTATTTGTTATTTATTTAAACTGATGGGAATGAAGAGGCCAAGGATAGAAAAAGAGTCTTTGAAATTTTAACATTTACAAACTTGAGCTACTTAAAGAAAACCTAGGTTTCTACTGCGATATCGTCAGTACATGAGCCAAATAAAACACATTTACTCCCCCAAATTTGGCACACATTGTCTAAATTCAAATCCAAACAGGCAATCCAAGGAGAGCAGTCATTTGGAGTTTTCCTAATCTCCTTACATTTAAATAGAGTACAATACATCTATTATGTTAATCTTTTCCCACTAGAAGCTATTAACATGGTATCTGCTCTTGGTTTAAACATTTCAGTACACGCGGCATCTCTAAATTTTGATAAACTTTCTAACATATAATGAATGTGCTGATATACAAAACTGAAAACTTCTGAAGGCAGCAGAGATGCCTCTGGGTGCTACTCTGGGAACTTTAGCTGCTTGAAAGGTGTCAGGGGACAGGCTCAGATCAATGGGCACACAGATGAGGAATTCTTTGTACCAGGGACATTCTCAACAGTGAGGCAAAGAAGTCCTAATCAAGCCCCCAACCCAGAATATCAATCAAAGGAGGAACAATAAACAGGAATTACAGCAGAGAAGATAAAAATCCAGGGTCTCTCCAGAAAGACAATACAGGTACTTAAGTTAATCCGTCAGCTTGCATCTGCACCTGGGCCCATTTCTGGCACTAGAACTACCGTTTCAAAAACACATTTGTATTTAGCTATCTATCACAAGTACGTTTCTATCCCTGCATAAACAGAGTTTAGGTTCAGATTTCTGCGCAATTTCCTTTCCTCTCTTTAAAAAAAAAAAAAAAATTCTAGACTCGAACATTCGATACTTGCAGAAGCCACTGAAGTATTCACGGCAAAAATAAAAACAACCTGCAAATGGGAGATGCACATAGTCGGCTTTTCTTTTCCTTGATTTCTTGTTAATATTTTATAATGAATTAAAGGTCGGTAAAAAGTCCCTTTCTTTAATAAATCTTAAAGTAAACAAGTAGAATGCAAATGATTTCCACTTTCAATGATCAATCATTTCAAGAATCTCTCTACGAACTGAGTAAACCATCTGTGACTCAGGCCTCCCTATCATGTTTTTTAAGCTGACCCACTTCTCCATCACTCACCATGGTTCGAAAAATCTCACTTCTAAGGGTGTAGCAAGAACCGCTCTGTGCCAGCGCATAGTTTGAATCCAATAGGGTAAAAGGGTAATGCAAACAGCACTTTAAAAGGACACCAGTTTTTACGTAAAATGACCCACTGCCTCTAAAAAGAGAGCATCAACACCAGCCTTCACCTGAAACAATCCTTTTCTCCAACAGAAGAGCAAATCAAGTCTGTAGGGTTCGGGGGCAAAGGCAAAGGATTAAGAAACCCGATCAAGTGTGAAAATGCTTGGTGCATCGAGTTTTGGAGATCAAATACTAGCTTTGCAAACGGGATGCGGCCAGGTCAGCGAGAGCCCGGCTCAGGGGATCGGCCCTGCTCTGAAAAGCTGTAGGGACACGCAAGGCGGTGCAAAGCCCAGTATCCCCAGCAGGGGCCGGGCCCGGGACCCCCTCCGCGCCAGAACTTTGCGCAGTTCGCCGCCCGCAGCCCCGACACCACCAGGGGCACCTCCATGCCGCTCCACCCACGTCTTTGCCCATTCTTTTTGGGTGGCGGCCGTGGAGAGGGGGTCTGAAGGGACTTAACAAGGATGGCAGGGGGCAGAAGAGGGCGACCTCCTACCCCAGGCTACGGCAGCCACAAAGGGCAGGGCGTCGCGCCTCTCCTCGGAGCCCACCGGAGCCACCCGCGGGCGAGGGCAACACGCGCCTCCTGGGCCAGGCCGCCTGCGGGGATGGGCGAGGCCGGCCAGGGGCGCACGGCAGGTGACAGTAGCGTCGCCGGTCCCCGCCCGGGCCCCAGCCTCCCCGCCCACCCCGGGCCTCGCCTCCCAGCGCACTGTCCTCTCCCGCGAGCCCCGGACCTCACCACGGGCTCCGCGCCGCGGAGAAGCCATCGCGGGGCGGAGCGGCCGAAGAGCCCCCATTCCTGGGAGCCAGCCCCCGAGCCAGAGACCCTGGCGCGCGCGGTCCCCGCCCTGTAGCTCCCAGTGCGCCCGCGCGCCGCCCCTACCCTTTGGCGTGCTCCATCTCCTCCTCATTGTCTCCGTCTATCCCGCACGTGTCCTGGTCGTCCAGTTCCAGGCTCTGCTGGCTGGCCGCAGACTCGCTGTCCTCCGCCATCGCGGCGGCGCTGGCTGGGGAGGCGGCGCTCGGGCCGGGCCGGCGCTGCGGGGCGGGCGCGGCCGCAGCTCCCTCTAGTGCCGCCCGCCGTACTGCTTGGAGTCGGAGCCTTGGCGCTGCGCCCCGCCCCGCCGGCCCCGCCCTGCCCCATGGGCTTCAATCCCGCTCTTGAACCCCGCCCACCTCTTCGTCCCTCCCCTCAAGCCCCGCCTCTCCCCGTCCTGCCGGCTTCAATCCAGCTCTCTAACCCCGCCCACCTCCGAGGCCCCTCCCCTCCAGCCCCGCCTCTCCCCGCCCGGCCGGCCTCAATCCCGCCCTCTAACCCCGCCCCTCCCCTCCCATCTGGCCCCGCCCTACCCTGCCCCGCCCCACCAGCTCCAACCCTGCCCACCGAGGACAGCCCTGCGCAGGGCGAGTCATGTATATCCAGGCCTGCGCGGTGCCTCTGCCTGGGGCTGGGCTCTCAAGGCTGGAAACCTGCAGACTTGACATCCTGAGTGGCGGCATTTTTGGAACACAGGCCATGCGATTTTACTTCCGGACGACTTAGGGAGCGCTCCCAACCCGTGCAGGGGATTTTCCCACTCAGGAGTAGGCACTCAGGGCTGAGGCTTTCCAGAAGCTCTTCCGGCCCCTCCACATACATGTTAACAATCCATTTCGCATCTATCCATCTAATACATTATAAAATCAAATTCAAAGTCAAAACAGTATTTCAAACCCTCCCACCGCCCTGTCCCCACCAGGCTTGCAGCACTAAAACTCTTGACAGAGAAATTCTTGAGCTACCCGTGCTTTTCCTGGACACTACGGACGGCTCAGACCAGAACAGACATCTTGAGGGACATGGGGACGTGTCCACGATGCCGGGGGATTGGACAGTTTCAGGTAGGCCACCCTGGCTTTCCCAAAGTCAAGGTTATGACCTAGATTTCCAAGCGAACGCGCACGGCCTTCTGCGCTGAAATCGTCCTCTGTCTTTCTCAGAAGAGGGAAGGGAGGCACTCTGTAGTACTGCCAAATAGAAGGCCGGTGAAGTTCAGCCTTGCTTATTTGCTATTGCATTCTGTACAGAGCAGCCCTGTCCTTTGCTTTGCTGAGATGATCTTGTTCAAAGGTGCTGCCAGGCCACCGGAAGTCTCTGCGGTGGTTTTGCTAAGACAGTCGCCAGAACCCGCTCAGTGAGGAATATGAGACTTTAAAGAGCCTGAATTTTTTGGTGTGGGTCCTTTATTTGCAGAAGATACCAGGAGCATTCTATGGCTTTTTTCCCCAAGGGAGCCTAAGTTTTTAAAACGCAATGAACTAGAAGTATCAAAAGATGCAAATTGCAGAGCGATTTCAAAGTCCATCAGCTGTTTGGCGTTGACACAACTAAAATTCTGTAAGAAGGGCAAATGGGGCCAAAACACAAAAAGAAATACAATATTGCCTTTAACAATTGCAACTCTTTGTGAGGCAAAATGTCATATGTCACCTCTGTGAAACTTTAGGATAAAAGCAAATACAGATGAGTGAGGTTCCTGCAGCTCATCTCTGGGAACATGGGTTGTTGGAGAACCCGTAGCTGGGTTGGGTAACCAACAGGAAACTGGCCAGGAGCAAGCTTATCAATCAGATCAGCCACTGTAACCTGCCAGAAGGGTTCTCTAAAAGAGTTTTTAAAACTTAAGGCAAAGGAAACTCAGCAAACATATTTATTTGAATTTTCAAGAAGTTTTGACTAAGAACTGCTCTAAAAAAGAATAAGAAAACAAATAATCCTGGAGAAATAAAATGAGGGCATCAAAAACCAGTGAAACACTAGAAGACAATGATAAACAGGGAACATCTGTTCCCCAGAACAGAAAGAAGTTGGTCCAGACGTCGGTACAGTACTGGATTGAAGTATTATTTAATACAAATGTTTTACAGCATTAATCTTTGGAAGGAGGGAAAAGTTTACAGATGACCCTGGGCCTTCCTAAATCCTACCGTCCTGTATAGAAACACTATGTTTCTAAACATTTTTACTTCTTTCCCTGGCTTAATTCCAGAGTTTGGAGAACTGGAACCAAGTGGCATCTTCCAGCGTCTTATATCTGAAGTTTATTTGGTGGATGGGATCACTGTAGAATGACTTCCAGTGTATTATTTTTTCAAGTTTCAGTTATTTATTAATCAGTGTAATCTTCAATAGGTTACATCAACATGATTTCATTCATTTAGAGGAGAAATATTTCCTAGTGAAGTGGAAAATTGTGCGGATGAATTCTGGAAGACCTTCGGTCTAAAGCAGCTTTGTAGTGAAACATTTCATTTAGAAGTCTGGACCTTCGTTCTTCAGTTTGCTGTGATCCACATTCATTGAGTAGAACTTGTATTGATCATCGGGACCCAGTTTGTTCCAGGGATCTGGGTGATTCTTTCTGTCCCAACTAACATCCGGACTGAACAATGCCAGACGCAAGAGATACAGTCCTGCTCCAGTACCTCCAGCTCCAATAAATACTAAGAGGGGGATCAAGCTTGGATGCTTCTTAGCCTGACCGATGATCTGGTGGAGCATGTTAGTGGCAGAGACCTCTAATTGGAAAGGAGAGAACCAGCCTAGCCACCAGGCCCTGGGCTAAGTAGTATCTCACCAGTGTATTTTAAAAGGCCTTTGGGAATTTTGTATTCTGCTTGGCCCATTCCTACTACAGATGTAAGACTATAGTCATATAATTGGTCTTGTTTTATTTAAACTATTTTGACTTCTTTTTTAATTTTGGTAAAATACATACAACATAAAATGTACTATTCTAACCACGTTTTTTGTTTGTTTGTTTTGTTTTTGTTTGAGACAGAGTTTCACTCTTGTTGCCCACGCTGGAGTGCCATGGCACGATCATGGCTCACTGCAACCTCTGCTTCCCAGGTTCAAGAGATTCTCCTGCCTCAGCCCCCCGAGTAGCTGGGATTACAGGTGCCCACCACCACACTGGCTAATTTTTGTATTTTTAGTAGAGACGGGGTTTCGCTGTATTGGCCAGCCTGGTCTTGAACTCCTGACCTCAAGTGATCCACCCTCCTCGGCCTCCCAAAGTGCTGGGATTATAGGCGTGAGCCACTGTGCCCAGCCTAGAGTGTTTTATTATGCAGTAACAACTAATCAACATACAGAAAAACAAAGACCAAAAGAAATCCTTAGGCCGGGCACAGTGGCTCACGCCTGTAATCCCAGCACTTTGGGAGGCTGAGGCAGGTGGATCACAAGGTCAGGAGATCGAGACCATCCTGGCTAACATGGTGAAAACCTGTCTCTACCAAAGATACAAAAAATTAGCCGGGAGTGGTGGTGGCCACCTGTAGTCCCAGCTGCTCGGGAGGCTGAGGGAGGAGAATGGCGTGAACCCAGGAGGCGGAGCTTACAGTGAGCCGAGATCGCACTACTGCACTCCAGCCTGGGTGACAGAGAAAGACTGTCTCAAAAAAAAAAAAAAAAAAAGGAAAGAAATCCTTAAAGACCCTCATTTTATTACTATCACGATCACTATCTGTATACCTGGGTATGTCTGAAAAAGACTCAGGCCAAACCATTAGTTTGTACTTTCTATTCCGGGTTCACAAAAGCAAAGCCCCTTGATTTTGGGATACATACTGGCTATTCTTGCTAGCTAGTTTGCTTTAGAGTCGTGTTTGGCTGGATTTTATTTTATTTTTTAAGTGACTGCATTTCTTTTTAATTTTTGAGGAACCCTATAACTACCCTGCACCTTTTGCAACTGTGCATTGGAGAAGCTTTTCTCGTGGTCACTGTGAGGGTAATTTTCACTTCCTGTTGCTTGGTATTCTGCTAAAAGGTTTTCATACTTGTTCAAACCAGCAGGTTGGTGCCACAGTGAGTATTGCAGATCAGCTGCCTTTCAGAATTTCACAGTTGGTGAGTCTGTGTCTTGTCCCCATAGGACAAGTTGGGGCTTGCGGGTGATGCCAAGGAAAATTCTAGAGGAACCGGAATGATGCCACAGCAGATTGGAAGTATGTGTTCATTTAGGAGCTGCAAGGTGCCTCCATTCTATAAATAGGGTCACCTTGAAACTGCACTGCTCGCCAAACTCCTTAAATGTGTTCAGGCTTTCCCCACAAGTACATCACCGGATAGTTTATTGCCAAAGTTCATTAGTTCTTTGATTGATAAGGATAATATATTCCGGAAGTACACTCTCACTGGACATTTTTACTCGAAGTAGAAATACTAAAGGAGGCAAAAGGATCTGTTCTAGTCTGTCCACGATTAGAGCTTCTGTCCCTTTCTGGAAGAAAGGATGCAGGAGAAAGTAACTGGTGAAGAAAGTGAGGGCAGTAGGTAAAGAAGAGGAAGGAGATAGAGGAAAATCAGGAAAGGTAGGAGGAGACAAAGGCAGGGCAGAGGTGAGCACCAGCTGTATACATGCCAAGGGCTGCAGCAGCCTCCAGATGCTGTGTCTCCCTGCATCCAAGCTCTACCGCTCTTTTCAATAGTGCTGCTTGGAAAATTCTTCCATAGCAATCGGAGCATGTTCATCCCCTGACTTAGAAACGACGTGACTCCCAGTTGCCTACTACATCAAGTCAAATCCCCCTAGGTTGGTGTTCAAGGCCTTCCACACCATAACCTCACCGTACCTCTGGTCTTAGCTCTGACCTAAGCCTCTCCAGGCCCTCCATATGCCCCAGTCTCCCTTCCTTGTCTCTGGAGGCACCAGGCCCTTGAATGCCCTTTCCTTACTCCCTGCCATCACTAAGGACACAGCTCCCGCATTGTGTCCCCTGCCGAGGTTTTATATGTTTGCCATCATCCCGGCACTAGCCCAGCAGCTCCTGAAGAATCATACATCATGTGCTTCTCTCTGTATCTCCATCACCCAAACAGTGCCTGAAACAAAGAGGACCCTTCATAAGAGCTATAGAATGAAAGAATGAATCTATGACACCCCTTTTTTTCCCTGCTTGCCAGCCCAATATCTTTTTAAAGCTGTTTTTTAATTTAATTTGTATTATTTGAGATGGGGTCTCACTCTGTCACCCAGGCTGGAGTGCAGTGACTCAGTCTCAGCTCACTGCAATCTCTGGTCCCAGGTTCAAGCAGTTCTCCCACTTT